AAGGATAGTCTATAAAATAGCATTAATAACATTTAAATCATTAAATGGCTTGGCTCCAGATTATATGTCCGATCGGTTTGTCAAGAAAACATCCTCCACGAACACCAGTTTAAGATCAGATGATAGGAACCTTTTGATGGTACCAGCTCATCGTTTGCAGACGGGATTGCGTAATATTGCTGTTGCCGGACCGATGATTTGGAACGCTCTGCCAGATCCACTGAGAATACCAGGAGTTTCTCTTGACAATTTTAAAAAGGATTTAAAAACTCATTTATTTTCTTTAGTTTAAAATTTTTGGTACATTTTTGTTTTGTTTATCCACTCGTATAATGTTTTACTGATGTGAGCGCTTTTGAGATTTTTCTTTTCTTTTTTTAATTAGCGCTATATAAATAATCTTTAATAATATATATATATATATATATATATATATATTATGGAACGTGTCCGCGTTCATTTAAGGCTCTTCCAGTGCTTAGTGTTTCGGGTTTGTCTTTTTCCTATGGTGAACACCCTTCCTGGGATACAATCATTGCAAATATTTTTGTTGAGCGCCATTTCAGACTTCATGCTATTTGTGATGTGCTTCATAGATTAAAATTTGGTCAAATACAAATATAAAAAAAAATACAAAATTTCCAAATAGTCAAAAAAATATGTTTGACAATAATGTAATTCGAAAAGAAGATTAAAAGAAATCATTTGAAAATAATAATCGACAAACAACATTTTTTTCAAATAAATTTCTTCCAAGCTTTATTTCTTGCAAATTCATCAATAATTTTGGCAGTGTCAATACTATTCATTATTTCTTGTTCTATATACAAAACAGCTAAATTATTTAATTTTTTTCCCCCATTGTACTCCTCTAATAATTTTTAATTCTTTTCAAAACAGAAAAAGATCTTTCACCAGATGCATTAGATAAAGGAATAGTTAAAAAAATTTTCAATAATATTTCATTATTTGGAAATGTGCATGACATTTCTTTAGCAGCTTTATAGATTCTTTCAAATGATAAATCTGTGTTATTACTTGAATTATCTGGCTTATTCCTAATGGCGTCCTCATTTTCCTTCAAAAAAAAAAATAAAAAATGGTTTTTAGTTCATCTTCCAAATTACAAACATCAATGTCATTTCTGTCAATATTTTTCAGTTCTTTCAATGATTTTTGTTTTTTTTTCTTCTGACAAATTCCAATCAAGAAATATACGAAAATGTTCCAAAACAACCTCATATTTTTGAACTCTTTGTAGCAATTGTGATTTAATACTATCGCATATGACATAAAATGTATTGATTTTAAAATTATCTCTAGTTGTAAATTTATACTCTTCTTTATTTTCATCAAAAAACGCATTTCTTTTTCTTCTGTTAAAAGTTACTTCATCTACCTCACCGAAAGATTGTAATCCTGATAAATCGGTTGCTACTGTCATAACTTTTTCATAATCATTTCTGAAATTCTCAATAAAACTGTCTAAGGATTTAAGTAGCATTGATCCTTTAAATAATTCACATTCTATTGATTGCAGTGACTTACTGGTAGAATTTATTCTTTGCAGGATACAATTCCAAATAACAGTCATAAGAGCGGTTTCGTATTTATTCATTTTTTTAAGTAGTGATGTTGCTTCAACTATAGTGATAGCGTTTTCATCCTGTTCATTGCATAGGTCAGTTAACGTTTCTTTTATTATTGTATATTTCAGTTTTAAAGCTAAAACAGCATCAGCTCTAGCAGCTGCTCAGTCTGCTAAGCGTAAGATCCGCCACTGGTTCGGACGAATCATCGTTTGGCCAAAAAATGTATCGGACAAAAATTCCAGTTACTTCAAACAAATGCGATGATTATTTTATTAACAAATGACTAATATTTTTGAAGATTTATTTCAAAAAGATTCGAAAAAGAATTTCAAATTAATTGCTTTGTTTTGTTTCAATTTTTATTTAGTGAAAATTTGCAGAAATGCACAAAAATTTTATTTTAGTGGAACGACAGTTTCTAATTTAAATGTACTGACAAAAGACCACATTAAAATTTTCTCAGCCTCCTGTGTAAATCACATAAAATAAAAGTCAGACATCGTTAGATAGATCAACAAACAAAAAAACGTTACGTAATAAATTGATTGTTAATTGCATGAATAAAATGTCAATTGTTTTCAGAAATCCGAAAGCGAGAGTCCAGGTAGACGAAGACAGGGAGGCAGACTCTTTTATAACACGGGTGCAGCTACTGCAAATTTTTTTTCACCAGTCAATAACTGAGTTACAGGTACATTCAGTAGATGCGGGCAATCGGATCTCAATCCCAAACGTCTTAATTGTAATACTTTATCAGAAAATCTTTTAACCAGATCCATTCACAATTTTGAGCATAAGTTGAAAGTTACTTTTTTAGTAGGGTACGGTTGATGAGTATGTCAGAAACCATCAGTTGTGATACTGGCGAAAAAACATCAAAACTTACAATCATCGATCATAGATGTGAATATCATTTGATATTATTTGACAAAGTCGTCCCTTACAAATCATTTATTGCATTTTGCATTAAAGCATTTTTCCCATTAAGTAGAAATAATTAATTATTTAAAGTTCTCAGAAATTTTTCCACTCTGAATAATTTGCTGAAATTATTAGTATCAGACTAAGATGAATCAGACTGTACATGCTGATCTATTTTAGAATCAAAATTAATTCGATTTATGATGAATTTGTAAACGCAAAAAGTTGTAAAAACTTTGCGTGATATAATAATGAATTTTAAAATAACAATAAGAAATGTGTTTAAAGCGGTTTACTTGCCACAGAATTATTGTATTATGCTCAAGGTTTGCGACTTTTTGATGTGTTCATTCGTTGACAGTTTTCCGTCGAGTCCACAACCCATTGAATTATTTATAAATAATTATTTGTGAATTAATTTATTAAAAAATTATAAAAATTATGGAAAAATTTATAAATAAGTGCATTTGCGTTAACATTAGACATAACATAAAAATATACAACTACACTTGTAGATAAAATTGGGTAACTTTATTTAATTTAACCAATCGAAAAAATCTGTTAAATGATAATTTTTAACAGTAAATAACAAACAAATCCGAAAAATCACTAAATATTTCTTTCCACTAAACAATTCCATAAACACCAAGGCATGCTGGATAAAAATTATTTAGGCATGCTGGATAAAAATTATTTAGGTTGAAACTCGAAGTTTTATAAAATCATGCAATTTTAAACTACTTGCTTCAAAAAAAGAGGTAAAAAACCAGTGGGTAAAAGAGTTATTTCACAAAAGTTGCAATTTTTGAATTCGCTAGTATCAAATTCAAATCTTGAATGTATGTCTATATAATTATAATTATATATATATATATATATATATATATATATATATATATATATATATATATATATATATATATGTCATTAATATTCGAAAGTTACTCTCATATTTTAACTTAATAATATTTAATTTATTAATTCAACTGCTCATTTACTTAAATTTCACTTAATATTTTATTTCAAATTTTGCATTTCTGACTATGTGTTTTTGATCTAATAGGCTCCGACGATGGTTAACTCCGAAACAGTACTGTCAGCCAAGCTCAATAACAATTTTCCTCTCAATAAATATGAATTCAACAAACTCAGAAGTGTTGAGGTTTTAATAAAAAAGACTATAAACGCACGCTGGGCAACCATTTTTAATGACATTTCTATTAAAGAGAGCCTCGTTCCTATATATATATATATATATATATATATCTCCAAAAGTTTGCTTAGTTGGTAAAAGTGCCAAGCCTCGCGTCTTTATTATTGCACAATGATCTGGTTTGAATGGAATCTCTCCAAATCTAAAAATCTATTTTAGGACTTTAGATTATAGTGCGGTGCTTGCGCGTGTTTTGATGCTAGGATTTTTGTGTCGAGAAGTTTTATTTGTTTTAAGTAAAAAACGAAACGTAGGCAGTTACATAGTTGTCAAAATAAAGTAAAAAGTGAGTTCATCAAATATGTATATAGTGCGACGCTTTAAGTGAATCCTATCCAGTCTGGCTTTTGGTACGTTCTTCTATCAAAGTATTTTGCTATTTCAGAGCCATTTTTTGGGTAACCAGTATAATATGTAGTTGTCGTGTTAGCTAACCAACCTGCCCACCAAGAAAATGAGCCCGTAGATGTGATAACTCCATCACACATTGATATCAAGCACATGTCAAAAGGACCATTATTATTTGTGGAAGGGACAAATCTGACGTTGGTGAAAATTTGTGTAATGTTTAATTTATAAATGGTTGAATTGACCCAGGCGTAATCTTGGCAAGCAACAAAAAATATAATAAAATCGGCACCTTTAGCAACCAAATAATTGAGAAAAAAATGTACTGTTGAATTTACGTAGTTCTCGTCTATCACTGTCAATCCCTGCCTTTGATTATCGATTGTTAAAAAATCAGTTCTTCTAACGTGCACGCCGACAGTTTTTATATTTTGATAACTCTTGTTGACAAGTGACTTGTGGTGATTAATAAAGTGCGATACATTTGATTTTGTAGCGGAGTGAAATTGGAACAGGGTTTTTAGTGATTTCTCCACATTTCTTACGTAGTAATAATTTTGAAAATATCCGCATATCAATAGTATTTTTATGTTCCTAATAGATGAATTGGCGTGAGGGTTTTTAAAAATAGGATCGTATGCTAAAGGTCCATATCTTTCTGTTAAAATAATACTTTCGTTAGCGTCGTAAATGAAGTTATTCGGAATTTTTTTAATTGATGAGGTATTGAAATATTCATCAATCCAGCCATGCAGCATGTAGGATGGCAGGATTGGGATTCGACCTGTGTTTTCTGAAACAAATAGTAAAGCAGCCAATGAAAACATCAGATTTCCAGTTCTTCTGCTGTTAAAAACGCACGTACCTAATGAAACGTATTTGGGATCCTCAAAATAATTGAAAAAATTATAAAAAGGCAAGATTATAATAAAAATTATTACTATAATTAATGAACGTTTTAAGTATTTATTCATAACGAGAGCCTAACTCACAAAACAATACTGCTAAAATAAGACTAGAACATTTTATGGTTCATAATTATAAGCAACATCAACTTAAATTTGTTTATTAAGTAAGATACGAACATTTCAATCACCGTACATTCGCTATAATGTGTTTCTTATAGCTATGAATGTGATGCATTATTATTGCATGTGTTCACATTTGTCAGTAGGCATATCCGCATAATCTCATTTTAGCAGTTTTAATTCCTGAATCAAGCAGGCGTAACATGATTTGTAAAATGATATTTTGAGTTTGTTTTCCAAACTTGTAAATATGGAAAAAAGTATTTGAGGTTGCTTGATTTTCACAAAAAATACTTGATTTAATTTTTATTCTTGTTTTGGGCTTTGAGTCGTTGTATGTGTTTAGGCTTCTGAACACCCACAAATAAACCGGATGTAAAACATATAATACATTAAATTCAGAGCGATATTCTTATACCCTTAAAATTCGTCTCGCACCTCAACATGGTGGCAACAATCAAGTATGAGATTGCCTTTTGAGGCTATGCCATCCATCCTTGGAAAAAGCTGAAGTAATACCATGGGCGTTAAGCGAGATAGAGAGGCTCGACAGGAATCTTGAAACGATTGGCTAACGAGAGCGTTAAGGATTTGGGCAGCAACAGATCTTCTAAACATGATGGCGGAAGAATAATGTCAACGGCTCCCTAATGTAATAAGATAGCTTTATGATATCTTACTGCGGGATGGATAGATTGGGACCTACCATTCTAATTCCCATATTACATTATTATCTTATTATTATTATCGTTGGTATTTATATAACGCCAATTATAATTCAGAATTCTCATTGACGCTCAATAACTTTAGGCGATTTAGCAATGATTACCAAACAAGTATGTCTTAAGTGTTTTCTAAACCCTGCCAGCGTCGGTCCATTTTGTCAAAGATTGTCAGGTAAACTGTTCCAAATCATAGGTCCATGCACGTCAAAATCTCTATCAGCCACTCTCAATCTGGTACCGTTGATGTTAAACATGTTAGAGGAGGATGACTTTAGCCCTTCATAACAATGATAAGAAGAAATCTTGTTACATTTGTCGTCAAGGTAGATTGGTGCAAGATTATTCAGACATTTAAAAACCAAAACTCTTAATTTGAACAGAATTCTTTTTTATCGGAAGCCAGTGCAACGATCTTAATATGGGAGAAACATGATCGAATTTTCATCCCTCAGCGATGAGCTTTGCCATTTGGTTCTGAATAATTTGTAGTTTGTATAGCTGTTTAGCAAAAATTCTGTATAATAGGCTGTTACAGTAGTCTAACTAGTCTAACTTGGCTGCAATAAATGCCAGTATCATTTTTGTCAAGATTATTTGACAGAGTCGACGAAACTGAAATAAACCCTTTCTCACCAATGAAGTCACATGATGATCCATTGTCAAGTATTTTTTTATCAGATATGAAATCCAAATTTAAAACAGCATCAGAGAATTCTATTTCTTTTCTACACAATTTAATTGAATTTTTGTCTGTTTTGACAATTGCTGTCAATTGCCCACAAGCAAAAACTAAGTTTTCGTTTGATTGAGTCTCAATCTGTTTCTTCTCATCCATCCATCAACCTCTTAAAATACATTCAACTAGTTTTTCAGCAATACTTGTAAACCCAGATGGATAACATAAAGCACAAATTTGTATATCATCTGCGAATTCATGACAATAAAATTTATATTTGTTGACAAGTTCAGTACCTCACTTAAATATAAAAAAAACTTCAGGGGCTTTAACAATGAGCCCTGAGGTACCCCAGATGTCAAAATACCAACCTTCGAAACTTGACCAAAAAAATCAACCAATCAAAAATGATTTTATCCATTTCAGCACCATACGTGAAATTTCAAACTATAACCTTTGATCATTGATGGAAGAAAACATATTAGAAACAATATCCAATAAAGCTGTCTTAGTCGAGGACATTTTCTGTAAGCGGGTTGGTGAAGCGGCATTAGATTGTTGTAGTACAAATAATCACACAGGTTAATCGCGATGTACGTGATGACTGCAATGCACGTGTTAATTGCAAATCACCAATTACTTTTTAAGTAATTGGTAATTTAGTAATTTCATCTTTCATATAATTTGGTAATTTCAAAGTAATTTCAAATTACATTTTGACTAAAAAATATAGTTTGTATGTGAGATATACTTACACAAATTATTATTATTATTGAAAAATTTTTTTTCTTGAAATTCTAAAAAATTTTTTAAATTCTAAAAATTTATTTGATTCAAAATTTCATTTGCTACTTTGAAGTTTTATGGTCATAAAGCTACATCGAAAAAGTTTACTTCTTTGATGTTTGACGCTTCTTTTTTTCTTTCTTTCTTTATTCAGTCGTTCATTAAACGATTGAACAAATTTGTTGATCGAAAGAAAGTAACTTAATAAGTGAATATAAAAATGACATCAAAGAATATCAGCGCAAAGAAAAATCAATGTTTAAATAACTTCAAAGAAAATTTTTTTCTTCATTTATTCAAAACTGGTTTGATGTAATTTAATTTCATGTAATTTGAAATTAGTAATTTGGCTCTTTTGTTGAATGTAACTTGTAATTTGTATCGAAATTACAATATAGTGTGTAATTTGCCCATCTCTGCTGTTTTCATTATTAACAACAGTAACTATAATAGCAACAACGATTTCAATGCAATAAAGGTTAAAATTTTTCAACGACAAACACACACCGCGTATATGAATACGCGTAAAAACCACGCATCATAAACGTTGCATACGATAGGCGGGAATCTCTTTGTATTCGAACCCAGTCACTGCAGCAGTAAGACCAGCCGCCTTTAACCATTGAGCCATCACGCCGCAATACTCACCAGCAAGTCATCTCTTGATAATTTGGATAAGACTTTAATCTTGGAGAGCGTTAATGAAAGAAAATGGATTAAAATGAAAGTTGTCCGTTTGAATAGATTATTCCTATCTACCGAAATTAAAAAAGTAACGCCTATGTTAAGAACTAACAGGCTAAAGTGGGGGTAATGATATAACCGGCGGTTTGACCAAATTGCGCTATAATATTTGATATCCTAATTATTGTTATCTTTGCTATATTTGTGATATTTGGATTGTAAACCAAAGAGGATTCTAAAGCGTTCAAGCGGGGTTTGATGCAAAGTTGTAATTATGATTTATATAATTGATAATTGCTGTTGGCATTCATATAAAGTAATAAACGTAGAAAAAAGTTTGCGTTTGTGTTCATCTATCAGAAATCTTGAACCTACGGAATAACTAACACTTGATAATCGCTGGAAGCTACAACATTGGTGTTGGAAATATAGAGATTTTGGAAGTTATAACATTGGTGTTGGTAGTTACGAGAGTCAAGCGTTAAAACAGTATTATTAGATATGATGAAATTTTATTCATTACAAGAACCATAAAAATAATAAATTTTATTTTTTGCAAATGAATCTGGTGAAAGAAAATTTTTCAAAGTAGTTAACTAGTTGTTAACTATTGATATTAGACAGCAGTTTATAAATAGTTAAAAAATCTACTAAACTAAAAATAGTTAAGAAATAGTTAATAACTCTTTTTAGTAGCTAATTAAACTAGTTAACTACTTTTATTGAGTAGTTAACACAACACTGAAAAAACCACGTTCACGTTGGCATAAAAAAAACACCAGTTTGCTTTAAAAACTTCGATATTCAACGCAAGTGGCAAAGCTAACAAGACATCATATACTCAGCGTATCATATACTCAGCGTATCATATACTCAGCGTATATGATGTGGTGTTTGCGCGTGCACATAAATCCATGTGTACGTCGTGTGAAAAGGATAAACAAACAGCCTTTGTGGCAAAAGATGGCTGCTTCATATCATTGGTTGAAGATATGAAGAACATAATAAAGATATATAGATGATATATCAGTAACATTGTAAGTGGTTCTGCGTATGTCAGAGCTGCAATAATAAAGACTAATAAAAAAAAAAAAAAACATCTTGAAAAAATTGAATAATTGATGAAACTGTAGACTTACTAAACTCCGTTGTTTAAAATGCGATAGTTAGTGATAAGATAATTCCCATTTTCAAAAAGGGTAGTAGAGAAGACATTAATAATTATAGGCCCATTTCAATACTCTCTCCACTTTCCAAAATTTTAGAAAAACTAATGTTTTGTAGACTATTTTCTTTTCTGAATACTAATAATATTATTAGTGACAACCAATTTGGTTTCAGACCTAATTTTTCAACTGAATTAGCTATGTTGCATCTAGCCTACACAGTGATGAATAAATTAAGTGAAGGTATTTTGACGGTTGGCGTTTTTATAGATTTATCAAAAGCGTTTGATATGATTGACCATGACATGCCCCTTTCTTTTCTCATATATCTCCATATCTTGTTCTCTTGCACTGGCTACCTATAAAATATAAAATAATTTTTAAAATTTGCACGTTCATATATAAGTCTCAATCTAAATTATTTCCTTTGTATTTATCAGATATATTAATTGAACCTAAACGCCCCGTCTTCTTCATCTCGCTTTTTCTTAACTCGTGTTAAACACTCTTTTGCCAAATCTGCTTTTGCTTTTTCTGGTCCTTTTCTCTGGAACTCTCTACCTACTTCTCTGACTACTTTTCCATCACTTGCGAAGTTCAGAGCGAATCTCAAGACCCATCTGTTTTCAAAATTCATTGAGGAGCGCTGTTGAACATCGCGGAAATAGCGCTTTATAAGCTAATTGATTGATTGATTGATTGATTGATTGATTGGTTGGTTGGTTGGTTGATTGATTGATTGATTGATTGATTGATTGATTGATTGATTGATTGATTGATTGATTGATTGATTGATTGATTGATTGATTGATTGATTGATTGATTGATTGATTGATTGATTGATTGATTGATTGATTGATTGATTGATTGATTGATTGATTGATTGATTGATTGATTGATTGATTGATTGATTGATTGATTGATTGATTGATTGATTGATTGATTGATTGATTGATTGATTGATTGATTGATTGATTGATTGATTGATTGATTGATTGATTGATTGATTGATTGATTGATTGATTGATTGATTGATTGATTGATTGATTGAT